CGCCCAGCAGCGCAGCTATCCTCAGGCAGGCGCCTGGTTACAAGTTTTTCGACGAGGCGGCCGAGCGCGCGCGCTGCATCGAGCCCGGCGCGGACTGCAAGGGCGCACCCCGAGCCTCCTCTACGAGACTCGCCCGGGCCACGCGCTCATGCACGAGAGTGCGCCGCCAAGCCCGCCAAGTGCGACCCGGAGCTCGAAGTCAAGCACGAGGCGTCTGGCACCTGTGTCTTTGGCGAGTCAAAGCTTGCGCCCCCGTCGCCCAGGCGCGTTGGCGATCTGGAGATCCCCGGACACGCGGAGCGCGTCGACCAGCTCATGGGCCACACGGAAAGCGCTTTCGGCAAGATAATCGGGGACTGCGATGATTTCGCCGGACGCGGCGCCCGCCAACGCCGCAGCCCCGGCAGCGCCGTGACGCTCGACAAGGACGAATGCATCGACGCCCTGGCATCGATCAGGCACGCCCACCTGGTCAAGGCGAGGGCCGACGAGGCCGCTGGAGGTTGACTACCCGACCTCTCTCCATCTCCTTGCTGGGAGCAGCTGCTTGCGCCCTGCTCGCCCGGCGCCGCGTCGCAGCGTGCATTGGCGCTGCAATAGGCCACGAACAAGCTGCTTCTACGACGCGCTTTGCAGCTCAATTCTGCGACCTTCGCCGCGCAAAAGATCGTGGGCCGCATCGCTTTTCCTGCCGTGGAATGCGCTGGCCAGATTTGCTCGCGCAGCGACGGGCCCTTCAAGAGGGAGGAGGAGACGGGGCACGGCATGAGGGGCGCCGTCTACATGCGCTTCGACAGGCGCCGTAGTACCGGCAAGGAGGTCCGCCATTTGCTCGACGCCGAGAGCCGATCACACAAATTTGCGCGTGCGTCTTCATTCGGCTCCGAGCTGCTCACAGCATTCGGCGCAGCTGATCGGTTGCAGGTGTACCTCCTCGGGCTCCGCGAAATGGGCCCAGTGTCAGCCGAGGAGATCAGGAAGCTGAGGGAGGAGGGAGGCTACGCCATGCCATGGACGGCATGTCCGTCTTCGCGACAATCGCCATGGATCTTGTGCGACGGCCATGGCAGGCCACCCGCGGCGACTCTCCAACCACTTTCGTGCCAAGCAGATCACCGACACGTTCTGGTGCGATGCCCACGACATGAGGGCAGACCCCACTTCGAAAGGGAGTATCGGCCGGGAGCTGATCTTGGACGCGATGCGCGGTAAGCTCGAGTGCGACCACGCCACGGTTAGATTGAGCGGCGAGAGGCGCAAGAAGACCGTGCCCACTTCCGGCCACAACGACCTCAGGACCAATGGGCAAAGCATTTTGACTGGATGACCAGCCGGAAGTTTCTTTGCGTGCATTTCGGCTGCAGGACGGCACATGGGCAGTACGCCGCGAATTGTGTTCTCGAGTGCGACAGAAGGAGAGACAACGACAGCAGCATGAGGCGAATTATGTCCGCGTGTGCGACTTTGCGAGACAAGCAATGAGGGGCTGTTTCTACGAAGTGCGTGCAGCACGCTAATCATCTGAATGTGCTCCTCCAGTTGTCTGCTGTCCCCGTTCCTCTTGTAAGTTTATTCAGAGGGACCTGGTCAGTGGAAGGCCCCTGTGTAGACTCTGCTTTCCGTCTAGGAATGCGTCAGCTTGCTTCGGCATCTTTTCGGAGTTTTTTGCCATATCGCCCTTTCCTCGTGTGCCGTAGAGCTGGTCCTGGGGTTTGGCACCTTCGGGGCCTATGTGCCCCGGGACGACACGAAGTCCGGCAACTCCTGGAGCTTGCCGAAATCAGCGCTTCACATCGCGCTGCAACGTGTCATGAGGCCTCGTCGGTTGTGGCGCGGCTTGCGTGCTCGCTTGAACAAGAGAGTCGGACAGTAGGCCTCCAGACTGCACTGCCTGTCTTGAGGCTCTTTTTTTTCGGCCGCCTTTTTTTTCGGGTGCAAATAGTCCGACTGGACGACGTGCCCGTGTTAGACACGTCTTAGTCGTCTCGCCGCCTTCTTTATTGAAAAGCGCCACCTTTTTTCCGAAATCCGTTATCAGAGTTTGTTTTTCCACCCCCAGTCCTCTGTCACCCTTCCTATTCCCCCGTCCCCCTCCTCTCCATGTCCCTCCCCCCCCTCCTCCTTTCCTGGCCCTCCGATGCCGTGGTTCTCTTTCTCGCCGCGAGGGCCCTTCGGAGTTCTCGGCCCCCCTCCCCCCTGCCGGGGGCCTTGCGACGGGGGTCGATGCGAACCTGGGTCAGCCAGAGCGCGAGAGTTGTTGCGAGGTTCTGCAAAACCAGGGTTGCACTGACCCGGAGTGGCGCGCAGGATCTTGCAGGATTCTGCAAAGCTTGGCTGGCCCAGGTGTGCGTTGGCCTGAGCCAGTGCGTCCCCGACCTTGGACAGTTTTTCCCAACCATCCTGTGGTGTTGGGTCCTCGTTTTGAAGAGACGTCGCCCCGCGTTCCTCCTTCCTCCTCCTTCCTCCTCCTCCCCTTCCTCCCCCCTCCTCCCCCTCCCACACCCATTCTGGCACACCCCTCACACGTTTCGTGGCCCCATAGGGAGCTCCACCGAAGGCCCCAGTGGCTGCGCCCGCATGCGGTTCCACCCCCCATTCTGGCACACCCCTCACACGTTTCGTGGCCCCATAGGGAGCTCCACCGAACGCCCCAGTGGCTGCGCTCGCATGCGGTTCCACCCCCCATTCTGGCACACCCTCACACGTTTCGTGGCCCCATAGGGAGCTCCACCGAAGGCCCCAGTGGCTGCGCCCGCATGCGGTTCCACCCCCCATTCTGGCACACCCCTCACACGTTTCGTGGCCCCATAGGGAGCTCCACCGAAGGCCCCAGTGGCTGCGCCCGCATGCGGTTCCACCCCCCATTCTGGCACACCCCTCACACGTTTCGTGGCCCCATAGGGAGCTCCACCGAAGGCCCCAGTGGCTGCGCCCGCATGCGGTTCCACCCCCCATTCTGGCACACCCCTCACACGTTTCGTGGCCCCATAGGGAGCTCCACCGAAGGCCCCAGTGGCTGCGCCCGCATGCGGTTCCACCCCCCCATTCTGGCACACCCCTCACACGTTTCGTGGCCCCATAGGGAGCTCCACCGAAGGCCCCAGTGGCTGCGCCCGCATGCGGTTCCACCCCCCATTCTGGCACACCCCTCACACGTTTCGTGGCCCCATAGGGAGCTCCACCGAAGGCCCCAGTGGCTGCGCCCGCATGCGGTTCCACCCCCCATTCTGGCACACCCCTCACACGTTTCGTGGCCCCATAGGGAGCTCCACCGAAGGCCCCAGTGGCTGCGCCCGCATGCGGTTCCGCCCCCCATTCTGGCACACCCCTCACACGTTTCGTGGCCCCATAGGGAGCTCCACCGAAGGCCCCAGTGGCTGCGCCCGCATGCGGTTCCACCCCCCATTCTGGCACACCCCTCACACGTTTCGTGGCCCCATAGGGAGCTCCACCGAAGGCCCCAGTGGCTGCGCCCGCATGCGGTTCCACCCCCCATTCTGGCACACCCCTCACACGTTTCGTGGCCCCATAGGGAGCTCCACCGAACGCCCCAGTGGCTGCGCTCGCATGCGGTTCCACCCCCCATTTCGGCACACCCCTCACACGCTTCGTGGGTGGCTCCATGGGGAGCTCCACCGAACGCCCCAGTGGCTGCGCTCGCATGTGGTTCCCCCCCCCATTTCGGCACACCCCTCACACGGTTCGTGGCCCCATAGAGAGCTCCACCGAAGGCCCCAGTGGCTGCGCTCGCATGCGGTTCCACCCCCTTTTTCGGCACGCCCTTCACACGTCTCGTGGCCCCATAGGGAGCTCCACCGAACGCCGCAGTGGCTGCGCTCGCATGCGGTTCCACCCCCCATTTCGGCACACCCCTCACACGTTTCGTGGCTCCATAGGGAGCTCCACCGAAGGCCCCAGTGGCTGCGCTGGCATGCGGTTCCACACCCCATTCTGGCACACCCCTCGCACGTTTCGTGGCCCCATAGGGGGCTCCACCAAAGGTCCCAGTGGCACTGCCCGCTTGCGTCCGCCACCACCCAGCACAGCCCTTGTTCCCTGCGCTTCACCCACCCAGAACAGCGCTTCGTAGCCCTATAGGGAGCTCCACCAAAGGTCCCAGCGGCACCGCCCGCATGCGTCCGCCACCACCCTGCGCAGCCCTTGCTCCCTGCCTGCGTTTCACCCACCCAGTACAGCGTTTCGTGGCCCCATAGGGAGCTCCACCGAAGGTCCCAGTGGCACCGCTCGCATGCGTCCGCCACCACGCAGCACAGCCCTTGCTGACCGCGTCTCACCCACCCAGTACAGCGTTTCGTGGCCCCATAGGGAGCTCCACCGAAGGTCCCAGTGGCACCGCCCGCATGCGTCCGCCACCACCCAGCACAATTGCGGCATTCACAACTGCATATGGTTGGGTCCTTCGCCAGGCTAATTTTTCATCCCGGACTGCAGTCGGGGCGCTGGGGAAGGAACCCTTTTCGTTGGGGAGGGGCTCGGTGTTCCTGAGTTGTTTTGCAGTTCGCCTTTGGTTTTGCATAGGGCTTCGATGGGACATCGAAATTTAACTTATGGGAAAAAGGGGCCTCGTTCCTTATTTAGGGTTCCTTAGGTCCACGCCCCGACTGTATTTTTGCTACGGCCCTGGAGCTTTGCAAAGGAGCACCCCACAGAGCCCGAAGATCGCCAACAGCCGCCCGCTGATGGCTTTGTGTTTCCGCGAGCGCGAGGAAACGTCAATATTCAACTGGTGGGAAGTTACATTCAGCATCGGCGCTGGTAGTTTTACGTTTGGGCGCACACAGGCGCACTCTGGGCGAATCCGGTCTCATCCCGCTTCGTCCCGTCTAGTCCGGCCCAGTCCGCCCCAGTCCGTCTTGGCGGCATCTTAATCTTCGGGCTTGATGGGTCTCAGTCGTTCCTGAAGACAGACCTCACAAGACTTGGCTTCTAGCATTATCCCTCCCCCCCTCACCGGCGGCGGCTGCGGCCCCGACGGGGAGGCTGACGTGAACAACCTGCTGCAGTTCTGCCGGTCTCTCGCCCCCACGAAGGCCTCGTCCCCCGTGCGGCCCTCGCCTTGAGGCAAGCGAGTCTGCTCGAAGGCCCCCGAGCAGCGTGGTGACCACACCGAACTGTGAGCCAGTTGGGGTCGGGGTGGCCGCACGGTTTTGGGACTCGGGACGCTCTCCGAGGGTCCCTTGGGCGGCTGGGGCCTCCAGCGCCCCAGAATGCTGCTGTGACGGGCCGTGCGGTGAGGCCTCTTCGGATCTCGAGGTCACCGCAAGGTCTGTCACCGCACGGTTTTGGGACCCCTGACCCGAGGGAAGGGGGGCGGGTGAGGGGGGAAGAGGGAGGAGGGATGAGGGAGAGGGGAGGGGGGAGGGGGGAAGGGGGAGGGAGGAGGGGGGAGGGGGGAGGGGCAAGGGGCAAGCTAGCTGCGCTCGCGTCACCTCCGACGTCCTGCCCCTCCCTCCCAGCCCTCACCATGGCGTAGATCTCCTCTCTATTCGCGCAGTCGGGTGTCGAGCAGGGCAATGATCGCGAGAGCGTGCGCGATGCATCGTAGAGCACGGCATAGCATGGCGTAGAAAAGCACGGCAGAGCGTAACATGCCATGGTGTGGTGCTGCGTAGTGAAGAGTTTCATCAGAAAGCATTGCAACACAATGAATGGCATCGCACAGCGGCACAGAACACAGCACCCCACAGCACGTCATGACATGGCGCCGGGTTCCTTGGAGGGTAAGTGTATCATCCTCGAGAGGTCTGGGCCAGTCTGGAGTCGTGGCTCCATGTGTAGCTCCTTGTGCTCTCCGAAAAGCTCCACACAAGGCGGGGCTGATGGAGAGCACCCACTGGCTCTGCTTTCAACATCGCTTTCCCAACGCAGAAACGGGGCTCCCGCGTGATACGTCCTTCCTAAAAACGACGACGCCGAATCGACACCGAATGTGGAATCGCTTCAGATGTTTTTTTCGGGGGGCTATTTTCCAGATTTGTGGGCATTGCATCGCACAGCTGAACACCACATGGCATTGCATTGCATGCCGTGGTATGGCATTGGAAATAATGACGCCAGCGCTGCAGCTGGAGCACGATTCGGACGAGCGGAAGCGCAGCATGAGGCCAGCGCTGCAGCGGGAGCACGATTCGGAACGAGCGGAAGCGCGAAAAGAAGGCCAGCGCTGCAGCGGGAGCACGATTCGGAACGAGTGGAAGCCCGAAAATGAGGCCAGCGCTTCGGCGGGAGCAACCTTTTGACAAAAAAGCCTAAGCGAAAACTCAACTCCCGGAAATCCTATGTGTAAAGAAGCAGTGCGCGGAGGGGGGCCGGACATCTTCCGGGCGTCATCAGGGGAGAGGGGAGAGTAGTACTTATTATTGTAATTGTGGAGGGGGGAGGGGACCTCAGATTTTCGCCGTTTTCGGCTTCCTGGGGTCCTCCACAGACCCTGCGACTGCCAGAAGGACTCGGGTCGAGATCGCCCTTCTCGGGGGGAAGGCCTTGATGCCCCGGACCCGCTTCCCTCGGGGCCCGTTTGCTGCATGCCGAGGCCCTCGCCCGTGTCGGGGGCGTTTTAGGGGTCGATGGGGGGGGGGGCGCAAGTGCCACCAATCAGGAGCATCGGTAGGGGGGCATATGCATAGGCTTGGCATCGCTCGGACGTGTGCATTTTTCCTTCGGCGAGGACCATCGAGGAGCATCCTTGATCAGTTGGCGAACAAAAACACGCACGAAACCGAAAAAGACACAGGGAATGGACGTCCGAGCGATGGCGAGTAGGGGGGGGGATGCATCGACCCCCAATCGCCCACGGATCGCCGATAGGGGCCAGATGGCCCCAAAAACTGCCCAGGGAGGTGCGGATGCACGACCGGAGGCCCCTCGCCGATCTGCCTGCGGTGCGTCTCCAGTTCCAGGCCGATGCATCCCCCCCCCCTGCAGTGCCGTTTTGAATGCATGCTCCGCGTGCGGACCATGTACTAAACATGCAGGGATTTAGCACCAGAAGCAACGCTGACTTCGTGCCTATATTTATTCATGCATCAATCATGTATTAAAAGTCCCATTACAAAAAATCCCATGTATTAAAAACTGCCCCCTGTAGGCCAGTTGCCCCCCGTCGCTGCCCCTCACGCCACGGGGGGGCCGCCAGCACGGGGGGGCGAGGCCTCGGGCTGCGCACCGACGGCCCTTGCCACCCCAGGTGGTCCCGGCGGGCCTCGACACGCCCCCCGAGCATCGGGGGAGGCACCCGCCACCCCCACCCCGACAGCATTGGGGGAACAAGCAGTGGCATAAACATAACAACTCGGAGGTCCGCGCGGATTTCTCGGATCGGCGCTGGGGCCCCCCGGCGGCGCCTCCGGCGCCGCCCCAGGCGCGCTCCGCGCGCCAGGGAGGGGGGTCCAGCGCCGATCCGAGAAATCCGCGCGGACCTCCGAGCTTTTATGTTTATGCCACTGTTTGTTCCCCTAAGTATTGGCGTTTCCCGAGCGGCCCTGGGGGTGTCCTGAACAGCCCTGCGCCCTGTTCGATTCCTCCCCGGGGTGCGTTTATTACTGAACGGCTTCGCTTGTCGGGTTGCTTCTCATGGGGTGGATTTTCTGCTCGCTGGAGTACAGTGCCGTTTTCAATAATGCTCCGCGTGTGGATCATGTATTGAAAATGCAGGGATTCAGTACTAAAAACAATGTTGAGCTCATGCATGAATTTATTCATACATTAACCATGTATTACAAATCCGATCTTTCTTACAATCCTATGTATTACAAAACTGCCCTGTAAGGGCCGGACTCGGCATCCCCGCGCCGCCTCTCGCGGCGCCCCTGGGGCCGCCCGGGCTACCCGATGGGGTCTGTTGAGGCCGCCGGGAGGACCGTCTGCGCGCAACCTGAGGCCTTACCATCCCCTTTTCCCGGGAGGTCGAGAGAGTCGCTGGTTCGCAGATGGGGTCCTGAGGGATGGGGGCCACAGGGCAGGAAGGGAACCGGGGCTCAATCTACGTTGCTGGGGGTTCCTCGCCCCCAGACCCCCGACGTAATGATTTTTTCATTACGTCGACTCCAGAATTCTCGACCCCTTCCCCAGGACCGGTTTGTCATCCTGTGTCGTTTTTTGACGCTCCCGAAGCCCGGTGAGGGCCCCCAGAGGCCGAAAATGGCGAAAAACCTCCCGTCGTGATTTTTTCATTACTCGAGGGGGTCTGGGCCCTCAGGACCCCATCCCCTCAGGACCCCATCTTTGAACATCGCCGATAGAGGATCGAAGGGGAAGAGCATCGAGGGTCAAAGGGCGTCGGGCAGTGCCAAGGGAGGTCACCGGCAGAGGGAGCCTTGTCTCAGATCGGAGCCTAAGGGACGGGGGTCAGTGCAAACGGGGGTCAGCCAGGGCGCCAGATCCTGCAGGATCCTGCGAAGACCCCCTCTGGCTGACCCGGGTTAAGGAGCCGCTCGTGGCTGCGGGGCGGCCGCGCGTATTGGCTGACCCGGGTTTGCGAAGACTTGCGCTGCAGTTTTTTTTTCTCCTGCATTACAGTTTTTGGTTTCCCGCTGACCCGGGTCTGGATTGACCCGGGTCAGAGGATCGTCGGTCAGACGCCTGGAGAGCCGCTGGCGCGCGAGCCTGGCCCATACACGCGCGGCCCAGGGAGTTCACGCAACGGGTCAGAGCCAGAATCGCCGGCCACGCACTCGGCACGACCGGGCGAGCACGCCGGCCCGATGCGGGGGGAGGAGGGGAACGAGAAGGAGGGGGAGGAGGAGGAATTTGAGGAGGAGGAGGAGGAGGAGGAGGAGGAGGAGGAGGAGACGGGAGAGGAGGAGGAGGAGGACGACGACGACAGCGACGAGGAGGAGGAGGAGGAGGAGGAGGAGGAGGAAGAGGAGGAGGATTTTGTTCGTATGTGTTCAAGCCTCTTGGGGCGGGTTTCGGGCCTGGGGACCTTCAGACATCGATCCGTGATGAGAAGAAGCTCGGCAGTCTTGAGTCTTGAGAGGAGGTTCGAGGTTCGAGGATCGACGTCTTCGGTTGTTCTTCGCCCTTCCCTGGCCCCCCCCCGGGAGGCTCCTCGTTGCCGCGGCCGGACCCGCCTCGGAAGCCTGGTCACAGCGCACCCCTGCAGGTGCCCGGGGGGCGATTTTTTAGACGAGGGGCGGAGAGGAAGAAGTCACCGCAGAGGGGCGGTGGGGTATGGGGGCAGCACGGGGCGGGCCCACTCTTGGCCCTTTTCCGAGGGCCTCCTCGTGGAGGCCCCTGGGAATGGTCCGGCGATGGTCCGTAGCCTTCCCCGCCGAGGGGGAGATTTTTAGACGAGGGGCGGAGAGGGAGAAGTCGCAGCAGAGGGGCGGCGGGGTACAGTCGGGGCGCTGAAGAAGGAACCCTTCTCGTTTGGGAGGGGCCCCGTGTTCCTTCATTGTTTCACAGTTTGCCTTCTGTTTTCCGTAGGTTTTCGATGGGAAATCGAAGTTGAATTCATTGAAAAAAGGGGCCTCGTTCCTAATTTAGGGTTCCTTAGGTCAACGCCCCGACTGTAGGGGGAGCACGGGGCGGGCCAACTCGTGGCCCTCTCCGAGGGCCTCCTCGTGGAGGCCCTTGGGAGTGGTCCGGCAAGGTTCCGTAGCCTTCCCCGCCGAGGGAAGCGGGAAGCGCGTTGCAGGCACATCCAGTAAGGCATCGGCTTGCCTGCAGGTGCAGCGCGGACATTCTTGCTTTCCCCTGCAGAGCCCCTTGAGCACTTTGCAGCTGAATGGCCGACGACGAAGGTGGTGTTTGTTGCCGTTTCCAGTCGCTGTGTTTTACCGTTCCCATGTTCAAGAGACACTTTTCTCGTAAACGATGAAAAACGGACCTGCCGCTTCCAGGGCCCACTGAGGTAAACACATACGATAAGATATCTTAACATCCGAAATCTTAGATTACCCCAGTGCGAGCCTACCTAGAAATTGGAGCCCCTAGGAAAGCAGCATTAGTTGCTATGCTATGCCATGCCATGCTATGCTGCGCTATGTTGTGATATGTTATGCTATGCTATGCGGCGCTATGCTATGCTATGTTATGACATGGTATGATATGGTATGCTAAGCTAAGCTATGATATGTCATGCTGTGCTGTGCTATGCTAAGCTGTGCTATGCTATGTTATGCTAAGCTGCGTTATGCCATGCTATGATATGCTATGCTAGGATATGCTATGTTATGTTGCGCTATGCTATGATATACTATGTTTGGCTATGCTATGCTATGCTATGATAATGCAGCGCTGCGCTATGCTAAGCTAAGCTAAGCTAAGCTAACCCTCTAGGCAGAGCCTAGGTAGGGAATTACACCCATGCTAATGCTTTGATTTGCTTTGCGTTGCTTGTGCTTTGCTTTGCTGTCGCTGCTGTTGATTTGCCTTTGCTTTGCTGCTATGCTATGCTATGCTATGCTATGCTATGCGCTATGCTATGCTTTGCTGCGCTGTGCTGTGCTGTGCTGTGCTGCGCTATGCTACGCTATGCTATGCTGCGCTATGCTATGCTATGCTATGCTGGGCTATGCTATGATATGCTGTGCTGCGCTATGCTATGCTATGCTGTGCTCTGCTATGCTAAAGCTCAGCGAAGCTAAGATGAAGGTAAGCTAAGCTAAGATAAACCTGAGCTACGATGAAGCTAAGCTAAGATAAAATAAGTTCAGCTAAGATGAGACAAGCAACGCTAAGCTAAGGGGACGTAACTGGGGGAACCGCGGGGCGGATACTGGGGGAACCGCCCGGGGCGCTTTCCACTGCCCGCCGGCAACAAAACGGTGCCGGAGCCCGCACATCAAAACGGCAAAATGGGACCAGTGAAAAAGTTGCCTTGTCGCTTCCAGGGCCCAGTAAGTCGGGCCGAAAGAAAGGGGGGATAGGGAAAGGGGGGGTACGACATCTGCTGCATGCAGGCTGGTTTCGGCCCCGCCGCTGGGCCCAGTCCTCGATACATATGGGCGCCTCCCGGCGCCGGGAGGCGCCGGGAAAGTCAGCCGCGTGAGTTAAGTCTCTACCCTACCCTTTGCTTTCCCCCCCCTCTCGTTCCCCCGGGTTGAGGTTTAGATCTCGTGTCGTATGTGCTTCCTGCTGCGGGAGGAGAGCGTTGGAGGGGGCTCGGCCCCCGCAGAGGCCGTGAAGCTGAACGACACGGGCAAGGCGCCTTCGGGGATCGCTCCGAGGGATCGGCCAGGGCAGGTGCAGGTTCGAGGTTCGACGCGGGGGCGACGCTTGGGGGGGGATCCTCCTTCCCCTCCCCTCCTCCTTCTCCTCTTCCCCCTCCCCCTCCTCCTCCTCCTTCTCCTCCTTCTCCTCCTCCTCCTTCTCCTTCTCCTCCTTCTCCTCCTCCTCCTCCTCCTCTTTGCTCCTCCTCCTCCTCCTCATCATCATCCTCCCCCTTGCTCTTCCTCCTCTTCCGCCTCCTCCTCCTCCTCCTCCTCCTCCTCCTCCTCCTCCTCCTCCTCCTCCTCCTCCCCCTTGCTCCTCCTCCTCCTCCTCCTCCTCGTCCTACATAGGCTCAGGGGGAACTGCATCCACCCCCAATCTCCGATCTTCCATTCATTGCCGATAGGGGCCTGATAGCCCACCCCGCCAAGGAGCGCGAGGATTCGCTGTCGGGGATCTATCGCCGATCTTCTGGCGACGTGTCGCCGATGCAAGCCCAGTATCTCATCCTTGAGCTGGTCCCCACCCAAACGCTTCCCCTCAGGTTCGACGATCGAGTGTCGATATGTGTTGGAGGCTTTTCTTCCTTGAAGGGTCGGCAGCGGTAGGCGGGCAGAGGCAGGGGGAGGAGGCGGATTGTTGGGGGTACTGCTGATCGGAGGCGATGCCCCTCCACTTGGACCTGCTCGCCAGTACAGTGGGGGCGCGCATCAAGAAACCATGTGCTTTTCGTGGGTATCCTGGGTTTCTTTGCTCCGCCCGCTGCGCGGTGACTTCCCGTACTGGTTGAAGAAGCTGCTGCGTTCAGGGCGCTCCCGGATTCCCCTCAGGCACACCTCGCGCGCGGGTTTTCAGGGTTGGGTTTCTTGCGAGGGTTTCTTGCGGCCGCGCCCTCGCAGTATGCCAGCACGTGTCTCAGGCCCTGCCAGCCTGTCTGCAGGACCTTGCCCGCTCGGGCCACCGCTTTTGGGAAGCACGCGTAGAGGATGAGCAAGAGGACGATGAGGAGGGAGATTCATCGAATAGCCCAAACCGCCCAACTCGGGCGCACCTCGAAGCGAGATCCGAGGCGGAGGAGTAGGCGGAGGAGGCGAAGGAGAAGGAGGAGGCGGAGGAGAAGGGCTGAGGAGGAAGAGGACGATGAGGGGGACGGGAAGGAGGAGGAGGAGGAGGAGGTGGAGAATGAAAATGAAGGCATGAGGAGAAGGAGGAGAAGGAGGAGGAGCAGGAGGAGCAGGAGGAGCAGGAGTAGGAGGGGGACGGTGAGGAGGAGGAGAAGAAGAAGGAGGAGGAGGAGAAGAAGCAGGGGAAGGGGCGGAGAAGGAGCAATGTCAGCATGGCTATATCTATATGTATGCATAGCTGTATCCGTATACATACATGTCGAGATATGTGTATGTGTATGTGTATGTGTATGTATACGCACCGTCATATACGCATGCATCTACATGTATATATGTGTAGAGATGTGTACATGTGGATGTGGATGAATCTACGTACGAGAATATATATATATATACATACATATATATATATATATATGTATAGAGACATGTGTGTGAAGTTGGTCCTCAGCCCCTTCCTCATTAGTTCCTTCAAGCGTGACCTTTCACTGGTCGGAGCGGCCCTTCGAAACACGAGCTCCCCGTGGTCCCGCAGTCGAGGCGGAAGCTTCGTTCTGAAGGGCACCGCCGTCTATGTTTCGATCCACACTGCAGGCGACATCGGGGGGTTTGAACGTTCAAGGCCGGGCACACAGAGACACCCCCGCGTTGTACCAGAACCGCCCCGCATTTGTGCAGTTGTTGCGCATTTGCTTTAACCAATGATCCTCGCATCAAGCGAAGAGTCACGCGAGGCCCCAGTTTTGAAGACGTGCCAGCCTCCGTTTGCGCAACTGTTGGAAGTGTTTAAGACGAATGTGAGCGATATCAAGAAGAGAGTTGCATGTTCGAAGCCGTTGGCAATATTTCCGCGCAGTTGTTGGAATTATAAGCTTCGGAATCATCCATACTGCGGGAGTCCAGGAGTCCACAGGGAAACATGCGGCCCGGTCTGCGGTCCAGGTGTGGGGGAGCGACAGGGATGAGTTATCTTTAAGGAAGAGGGCTCGGGAAGGCGCACATGATGGGGAGTAGCAAAAGGAGGTGGATGATGATGATGATGATGATGATGATGCTGTTGCTGATGATGATGATGATGATGATGATGATGACGATGATGATGATGATGATGATGATGATGATGCTGATGGATGATTATGATGATTTGATGATGATGATGATGCTGATGATGAGGATGATGATGATGATGAGGATGAATGAGGAGGAGGCGGAGGAGGAGAGGAGGAGTGAGAAACGGAGGAAGAGCGGGAGCACGTGTGAGGGGGAGGAGGGAGGGAGAGGAGGAGGAGGGAGGAGGAGGAGGAGGAGGAGGAGGAGGAGGAGGAGCGAGGAGGGAGGAGGGGAACACGGAGGTCAGCACGGGGAGAGGGAGGGGGAGGAGGAGCGGTGCCGCACCGTCGACGCGGTCGGGGACACGTGCAGAGTAGAGGAGGCGGGGCGAAGCCCGAGCTTTTGGACCGCAGGAGGGGCAGGTGCAGGAGGAGCTTCTCCTCCTTCTCCTCGTCGTCCTCCTC